ACTGAGAAGAAAACTTTTAGTAGTTCTAAAGTCAATACAATGTTGTCCAAATATTTTTTCTTTCCATCTTAAAAAATACAACCCAAAGCACAAAGATTAAAATGTCTGTGGTATTATCTGCAAATAGAATTATTCAATTGAGGCAAAATAGCTTTTTGCCCCTTCATTAGCAGTTCAGGGGTTTACCATTTTTTCATTTTTTGAAAGGCATATTCATTAGCAATATCATTGGGCTGTGGTAGCATATATAGGACTGGTCTGGATATATGTTCTCACTGACAATCTACTAAGTGCAGTTACAATACAACCAAATAAGACAAACACATCCGCCAAAAAAAGATGTGAATTCAAGGTACATCATTGCTTCAGAATCTTAAAACACTTAGGATCTGCTCTCAAAATAACATTAAACAAATTGTGCTCTTTCTGATTGTCTGATCGTAGACTCCAGAATATTAACTAATAAATATGAGTTTAATTATTAGTTTTTATTTACCTGTTGTTATCTACATAACGTATCAACATTGGATAGAAGGCATAAAGGTCTCTACAAAGTACAGCAAACTCATCGAGAATGAGTAGCTCAGCTTCTTGGGTGTCAGTTTTATTATCTGCTTTCAGCTGCTCTTCTTCCATCACAATCTTTATAGCTTTCTTCTTCAATTTCTCCAGTGTTGGAATAAAGTGAGATCTGAGCAGATCAGATCTGGCTTTGCTGATGATGGGTTGAGCATAAACTATAAGAAAAAAATGTAGATAATACTATGATTAATGCACAATTGGTGTTTTTCATTATATTAATATGAACTCTGAAGTTCTAGAAAGGATAAAGATTATAGTGTTTCATATATTTTGTATCATAAAGTTAGTAATTAAATTATTAATCTAGCTTGGCAAAAAATGTGCATAGAGAGAGATTAAAAGACTGTGAATTAAGAGTTCAAATATTTCAATCTTATTTAAATTAACTATGATGGTTTTGGCAAGTCACATGTCTCTAACTGAGAACCTAAGCAAAGTAAGAGTTGAGACACAAAGTCTCCACAAAAACACCTTTAGTTTGGGTTTTGGTTGAGTTCTGTGCATGTTTGTGTGCGTGCGTGTGTTTGGTACCCAATGAGAAAAAACTGTCAGAAGACAGTATTCTAGCAGAATACCTTTGCCTCTTTTGCCTTGGGCAAGTTAAAATGCAGAGAATGAATAATTCAAGATCACAGACCTATTTTGTACAAGTACTAGCAATCAAATGCAGACTACCTAAGTCAAAAAGTCTTGCAAGAATCATACTGGTACATTGTCTCCTTATGTAGACAAACAGCCACTACAAAACTGCAAGACATGGTCTCTGCAATTAAGCAGCAAATTTCTTGCTAAATTTTAATGGAATTATAATTATAAAAGACTTCCCAGTGTTTTAAATAATACCAAAACCCCAGTACCAATGGGGCATTAAAATTTATCAGGAAATTATTACCTTTACGTAGATTTTCTTGAATTGCACATTATATTCTTACACCATTTAGTATGAATGATAAAATTAGGCTACAGTACATTTCTTCAGCTAGCTAGATACAAAATGTTATAGGACATTTTAAGAAAACTTTCAGCTCATTTAATAGCTCACACATGTATTTACGCAGACCAACTAATTCTGAACAAGGGTTACTCCTGACATTATTTTACCATTTACACTTTCTTTCCATTTTGTCTTGATATTTCAGGAATAGGATTCACAGGACTTCTACACTCTACCAAGTTGCTTATATAGTGCATAGAGAAGGCAAGATTTTCAAAGTCTGCTATGGTGTATAGAAAGCTCTCTGCTTACAGTGATGCTACAATGCATGCATAAAAAAGTAATAACAAATATTTCCCATATTGCTACTTATCTATTATTTATCTTTATTCTTTCACGATGGTTTTAATACCAATTTATTGCTATTATATCACTGGGTAATAAGGCAAAGTACAGCAAAATTACTAAATTTTATTAAGCAGTTACTCTTCAATAAATGTTTACAGTACCTGCAATTCTTTTCATCCAAGATGCTTCATCTATTCCCAGATTGTTGTTAATGATTTTCAGAATGTTTCCAAGAATGATACTCAGATGCTCAGATGTTATCATTGTACAGCAAGGTCCAGCACTTTGAGAAACACTCTCAGACCCTCTTTCCCACCAGTAGGATAAATAGTTGCATAGCATGGGTAAAATAACCTCGATTACATGAGGCATTTCAGTATACCTTGCACCAGACTCTGCTAAATCATTAATTTCCTTTATTAGACCATCCAGCTGAGGGATCTCTGGACACATCTCTTCTACTGTATCGGGCATACCTAAAACTGCAAGTAAGAGTAGAAAAATGAAAGATTAATTAGCATATAAAAGAGAACATCAATGTTTAAACTGCAAATACACATAACACTCACTGAGGCTTTTTTTTTGGTGAGGAACAGTACTTACTTGCCCTTTCTCTTGAACTTTTTGTGTTGAAAACAGACAATGGATTGTAATGGTTGAGAGAAGGTTCAAGGAATGCTACTGGAATAGCTGCTGCAAGAGATGCTAAACACTCACCAAGTGCGGGACGCTGCCTGTATATGAGAGACACTAAAAGTCACCTGAGAGGAAAAGTGTTTCACTAGTCTTTCAATGTCCAGCATGCAGAACAAAAAATATCAATGTTTTTTAATAATTTATTTTATCTTTTTAATACATTAGGAACCATCTGAACACTTTGAAAAATTTCATTTCTCACATAAAAAACGACTGTAAATCACAGTGGTGTAAGAAACACAGTTAAAAAAAAAACCAAACCCCTACCTCCACCAAGTAATGCTCCACAGTGCATCTGCATGACTACAAACTATTGAAAACATATCTAGAATATGCACAAAGAATACTGACTGCATATTCTTATTACTCCTTTGGTTTGCTGAACCAAGGGGCAAATGTATATTAATCACTAGGAATATGTTTTGGCAGCCATACCCCTTTTCAAGATTTCACTACTTTTCTGTCTATATAGATAAGTTTCTTTTGCTTCACTCATTATAGCAGTCACATAGGCAAATGTTGAGAAACACTACTGCTACTTATTGAAGACTAATTTCATACTAGCTGAGCCAAACCAACAGCAAGATCATCTGGCTGCATAAGCACTATTTACCAGAGAAAAAGACAGGGGTGGAAATGTGCAGGTGAGAGTGCAAGAGGTGCTGAGACAGTCCTCTTCAGCATAACACCAGACTCACATTGGCTCAGAACTAAAGCTAAGGTACTCTTTTGAAGTTCTGAAGCACTGATAGACAAGATACCTTACAGATTTTGTTACACTTGACATACAGATTGGGTTAAAGATAGACACACCTTTCAACCTTTGAAGTTCCATTGTTGGTTTTTGTGAATAGACATGGACCTGTTGGAGTGGGTTCAGAGGAGTATAACAAAAATGGAGCATCTCTCCTATGAAAACAGGCTGAGACAGCTGGGCCTGTTCAACCTGGTGAAGAGAAGGCTCCAGGAAGATCTTATAGCAGCAACCTATTAGCAGGGCTTGTTGCAACAGGACAAAGGGTAATGGTTTTAAAGTAAAAGAGGGTCAATTTAGACTAGATATAAGGAAGACTTTTTTTTTACAATGCAGGTCATGAAACACTGGAACAGGTTGCCCAAAGAGGTGGTAGATTACCCATCCTTGCAAGTATTCAAGGCCAGGTTGGATGGGGCTCAGATGTCCTTTAAAGGTCCCTTCCAACCTAAACTATTCTATGCTTCTATGATTGCTCAGCTTGCAGGAATAAAAATCTTTTAAGATTCCTTTGTGTCAACAAAGCCTTCCACATTGTATGACCTAATGTCATAGATCATACCACATCTATTACCTGATCTTCAACGGTTTATGTCAGTTTTTATTTCACACCCATGCTGGAATGTGAAGACATATGCAACTATATGCCCTCCAGCTTCTTTTGTTGCAGGAGAAACAAAAGAAATATGCAAAAACAATTAACTTGCATAATTAAAAAACATTATAAAAAAGAATTTTTGTTCTCTTGGGTATTTCATGTAACTTGATTCACATAATATTACTATTTTAAGGATGATTGCTCATTCATTCTGAACTACAGCTGAATGTTATTTTACTGCCACAAATGAAATGGAAAATGAGGTAGTACTTCAAAATTAACAAGAACCTATGTGCTGCACCTACACATCTACACTATTTTCCTTACATTTTTATCATTTATATAGTATATATTTTTCAACAGAATACATTGCATTAATATCACAGACAGCAATCACAGAACATTTAATTAAAACTAGATTTTTTATAGTGTTAGGATCCCTACTAAATTTTAGGTCAGAGCATTGCTCTTTTCAAATTTTAGTTGTAATGAAAGATGCAACATGACATACTTAGGACATGTAAAAATTTTCTGAATAACAAAACTTTATAGCATCTTTGCCTTCTGTTGGATCTATGAGGAAGCTTGGTGTATTTGTATATATATATATGGACACAAAACCATATTAAGAAGTAATTAAAAAAGACTAGCATCAAATGCACTGAAGCTATTTAATCTCATGCATGACAATTGTGATCATTGTGCATCCCAATCTCTTATAAGAAAGGAGGATATCAAGAAGCTGAAAGAAGATAAGGCAAACAATTCTACAACAAGACTAAGAAAATTATTCAAAATACACATATATTTTCTTCCATATGGAAGTCCTAAGTATGAGGAACTAAGGGAAAGGTAAGGTTGGATAGGAAATGAAATTCACAGTTGAAAATCTCTCACACAGCCTTAGAAGACTAACTCATTTCCTTGGATCTATCTAGTCTGACCACTATTCCATTCTAAGAAAACAGATGCAGTAAGCAAAGGTGATGCTGTGACCATCCACATTTAAGGTAACTGTCCATTGCTTATAGCTCTTGCCAAGCAAGTGGAGGCCTGTGCTGTGAGCTCTTCTTATTGAAAGGGGGCTCAAACACAATCATATTTTATTTCCTGCGACAAGACCCTGACTGCTAGTTAGAGAACAGGTAAGGCACTTCCTATTTTTCCTATCAGACCTGTGTAAAGGAGTATTTATGATTTTCAAGCCCAGAAAGAAAAGGAAGAAAGAGCGTATAGTGATTTAGTGATAGATGCATAAATGGTTGAAGTGGACATACACAAGAATAAGCTTGTACACACATGCATGCAGAGTGGGAGGAAAGAGATCTATCTACAAGAATGCACTTGTATTTTGCATGAAAGGATTACTGAATAAACTCTGGAAGGAAGGAATTGGACACTACACCTCTCATACTAGGCAAAGCTTCTCCTAATCAGACTACAGACTTAGATGCATAAATGGTTGAAGTGGACATACACAAGAATAAGCTTGTACACACATGCATGCAGAGTGGGAGGAAAGAGATCTATCTACAAGAATGCACTTGTATTTTGCATGAAAGGATTACTGAATAAACTCTGGAAGGAAGGAATTGGACACTACACCTCTCATACTAGGCAAAGCTTCTCCTAATCAGACTACAGACTTGCATTTCCTCCAGTTTAGTCTCTCTCTCCCTGTGGATCTTGAACTTCTTATCATGAAAATTGCCTAACCTAAAACATTCAGAAGCGTCAGGATGGGTTATCCTTATCTTTGGTTTCAGCCTTGTTATAGACAGGCAAACAATTAGGTTCTCTTTTGTGAACTAACAGGTATGGATTTGACTCTCTTTTAATTCAAGCGGATCTAAAATCCTGGGCTTGGAACATAGCACAGCAACCAGATGCTTAAAGGAATTATAGGCCCTGCTCTTCTTTAAAGGCAAGTAACTAGTGGTTTCCTCTGTAGAGTTAAAGGTTGTCTGCATATGCTCAGGACAACTATTTTGAGAAGTCTGTACAGACTTCGGTGTGAAACAGATGCATCCTACTTAGTACTCAGCCTACACACCACAGCAACATGCAGTGTACAAATTCTGGGAACCTTAATGTCAACACATGGAAAAATTTAGCTTTTGCTATGTGAAAAATAAACACCCTGCAGATACACTGTCATATGCAGGATGAATTATTTGCTTTTATTTAGTTTTGAGTTTGGTTTTTTGTTTGCTTGTTTGGGGAGGTTGGTTTGTTTGTTGGTTTGGGCTTTTTTTTTCTGTGAAATTGAACTCAAAAGTATAGGCAACTACTTTCAAGGAAACTGCTTTATTACTTAAGCAACAGACTCGTAAAGAAGATCAAATTTTCCATGCTGAGTTTTACACTTAATACCTTTCAACATAGATGTTCTTTCCAGTTCCAAGAGAATAGAGGCTACAAAGAATTCTGTAACACGAAACTTGTACATCATCCACTAGAGGAAAATAAGAAGTAGATTATCAGTATTTATTCAGCTGAAGATTACTTTTCAAATATCAAACATCTGTTTTATATGATCTGTTAAGCAGTGTCTAAAACTTTTAGCATATGTATCACTGAACACTCTAGGCTGTGAATACTCCACAGTATTTATTTTCAATTTATCTAATATCTGATCTGCCATCTAGAATCTTAGAATCATAGAATTTAAGGGTTGGAAGGGACCTTACATCTAGTCCCAACCCTCCCTGCTGTGGGCAGGGACACCTCCTCACTAGATCAGGTTGCACAAGGCCTTATCCAACCTGGCCTTGAACACTGCCAGGGTAATGAATCTACATTAATTCCAAAACCTAACAGATCATCAGATATTCCAAGAGGCCAGCAGATACTTGCTAATAAGATACTGCAGGTTATCACACTTGCAGAGTATAATTTTAAGCCAAACCACATCATTCTGCATGCCTAACATCTAGGTACATAACCTAAAGGTTCATCATATTTTAAAAGAGTACTTTAGTGGGTATCCATCTTTTAATTATGACCCAAATATATATAAAATTTTTGGAATGGCATATTGCAAAATCTCAAGGAGTAATTTCAGTATTTTTTAATTAAATAGTGAAAATTTAAATTTAAAGACCTAAAGTGGTTTTCACATGTAAGGAAAAAAAAATCCACTGGGAATGAATAGCAAGTTGTCTCCTTTAATGATGCAAAAATTTTCTATAGGAAATTATTCTCATCCACACGGTTACTAAGAGAGCAATTAAGGGGATAATTAAATTTCTCTCTCAATGTTTGGAGAAACATTTTACATAATTAACTTGAAACTCACTGATTTATTTTTAAACATGCAGTAGAAATAAGGTACTATGCAGCTAATTTCAGAGTTAATGCTGGAAATGTGCATTTTACTGAAAACCGAATTCCATCATTTGAATCCATGCAATCATTACTAAAAAACATTTGTATTATTATAACACAATAAACTTCAAAAATAAAATAAAATACTTACAAAGTAAATCAATCCCAAATTGATAGTGTGAAATATGTTCAAAAATTGATGTTAAGATCGGTAACAGTGCTACTGTAGTATAATTGATATTCTGTGAAACACCCTTAATTTGTGTTCGTGAATGAGTAAATTTTCCAAGTTTAAGATTTTCTGAAGTTTTTTCCAAGTCTTCAGCTGCATTTTCAAAAAAGGCACGCAGTCCTGCTTTAACAAGCTCAGATCCTGATTTCATAACAGTTCTGAAAAATAATAAGGGAAAAATATTGACTTTGCATTGATCTTTAGTGGTTGTATAATGATATATGTACATGCTAGTTACATTCTATCAGTGTTTGAAGTTACACATGCATCAGTGAACTTTACATTATGAACAAAAGAGGGCAGTTACATCTCCATAGCAGTATAAGCAACAATTATCTTGGAGTATTTAATACTAAATACTGACAACAAAGATCTTGCTTGTATACACTTGCCTTTCCAGTTTCTGTGATCTGCTTTGAAACAATATAATGTCTTCTCAACAAATATTATAAGTGGTGAGAAAGCTCCTCCATACAATATGCTATAAAAAATAACTCTTAATCCCTGTATTTTTTATGAGAGCCACAGTAGCTAGATATGCATGTCAGGATACTTCAATGCACACTAAATCTAGAAAATGCAACTGCAATACTAGCATTACAGTCCCATTTCTTAATTTTTTTGCACTCTTCTCCAACTCCTTAATGAAACTTTCCAATGTTGTTATTCACAAAATTCATTGTCAGGCTGCTGTGTAACATAATCAGGCCAAAAACCAGCTCAAATTACAAAACTGTTCTGGCCTCTGTTTTAATCTACATAATCATTTCAATGATAAACAGTAAAACTTAGCAAATGTAACTATGCCCATATATTAATACATTCTTCTCGTGGTTTAGGAATGTATTCCCCAATTTAGCTTTTCCACTGAAACAACCCAAACCATGTGCTGCTCACTCACTCCTCCACCCTCTCACCCTGCAGTGGGATGGAGAGAAGAATTGGAGGCACAAAAAGGTAAAGACCATGGGTTGATATAAGAACAATTGCCTGGAAACATCAGTGAAATAACAGTAACAGTAAGAAAAAGAACAATAACACTAAGAAAATGAACAGTAACAGCAACAATACTAATAACAGGGTGTCGAAGGCAGGTGAATGATTCACACATGGTTTCTCACCACATGAAACCTGGCACCACAGGACCGCACAGCCTGTGCACTGGCCAAACCCAAAGGGTACCTGTCCCTCTCTGATCCCTCTGCATGGCACAAGGTGGTATAGAAGAACCCCAGAGTACTGGCCTTGCACCTCGTGGCTGCAAGGCCAGTACCCTGTCCTGGCTGGAACCAGGGCAACTCCACATACTTCTAATGACAAATTTTCCACTATGGACTAAACTGTTTCAATATCTGCAGGTATCAATACTTGCAGTTCCAAAGGTTGTGTCATTTATATCTCCCAATTATGTCTTCAAATGTCCTTGGAAAGGATGAGAAGAGTTTTCAATGTTTTAATGACAGACACTAAACAGAAAAAAGCGGATGAAACACTTTAGACTGCTACTATGGAGGTCAAATTCTGAATTATCTATACTGTTAAAGACAAATAAAGAATAAAAAGGACAGAAACAATCCAGCTGCTTCTGAAAAACTCTGCAACACCTTTGTAGTAGTTTGTACAAATATTGCAAACTTACCGTGTGTCAAGAGACTGAGCTAAGATGTGGAGACAGTTCACCATTGTAGCAGAATCACTACCTGGTTAGAAAGAAATACTACGATAGTACAATAGTATAGAAAATGTGGCATAATATAATGATCCAAAATGTCATTACTGGAGATGCACAGGTTAAGCAAGGCATTACGTAAGTCTTTCATCTAGGTCACTTAAGTGAGAGTTAAGTCTGGTTATAGAACTATGTCTCAATTTCTTAAGCCCATTTCCATACAAGTACCAAAAAAACCAACTTATGGCTCATTGTCATCACCTAACTCTGCAACACTCTGCACATTGTATCATGTAGAACTTACATTCCTTTCATAGTTTTCTTACCAAAACTTTTGAAAAAGGTGTACTATTTTTCCCTATATCCTCTTCACCTACTGAGAAATTAGTCTATTGGATTCAACAGCTGGATGACAGAAATTGAAATAATCAGTGTAAGATAACTTGAAAACCTAAAAGCGATATTTTTTCAGGAGTCTGAAAATACTAGAACCTTCTGTTTCTTCTAGCTTCAACACTTTACATATTCTATTAAGTGTTAGCTTCAGAACATGTTCAGCACACTCAGTAATTGCACTGGAAGTTTATGCACCATTTTATAGTTTTGCCTATAGCTGTGAAAAGCTTCGGGTAAGACAGAAACAGGGGTTATACATTCTTTATGCTTTTAACTTCATCAAGATCTTTCTTAACAACTTACCAAAAAGTGAGATCCTATGTCTAACAAGAGCAGCTAGTTTGCAGAACAGGCTAAAGTAGAAAAGAACAGAGAGAGCAAGACAAGACAAGACAAAGATTAAAGATTTTTTTTTAGAATATGAGGTAAAGAATAGTAGGAATATGAAAGAGAAAACACAACACAGATCTGTGTTTACTCTCTGATGATGATAAGATGAATCCTGAAATACATACAGACCAGGAAGATCTTCTGCCAAGTATATCAGAAACTTGCATATCTAAATTATCTGTCAAAATAGTAGGATAACTAAGAGAAAGAATAAATCTCCAACTCTATAAAGATTAAAGGGGCTTCACTTTTAAAAAGACAGCTAGGCAGACTTGTATATCATCTGTGCTGTACTTTACAAATGGAATTAGGACATAAAGTCAAGCAAATACACCTTAGGAATTGGTATGGTCTCTTACTAATAAGAGATTGCTATGGTTATCTTCACGACAGTAAGGAAATACTATACTTCCTATAAGATGAAAATAATGGATAGGTGCTTTTCTCAGTGAAGAATGCACAAAGAGTTAGAAGATATTTCTGAAATTATACTAGCAGATATGTGTGCTAGATATCTAACTTTTGTCGTGTGCTTTTGTACAACTCTAGCATGCTGCCTTCCAGCTTTATTAAGCTAATCTGACTAACTTTAGAGAAGTAACAGGTGTGTTCAGAGTGGAAGCATGAAACTGAAATGAAATTAAATGACACGTCCATTCTCCTGATCCTGAGCTGATTTCCTCAGGTACTGGAGGACTATCTTGCACATTTGTATATATCTTAGAGCTCAGAAAAGCAGAATCTTAGGGACTTAACACTCACGGGAAACTGCTATACAAATACTACCACCCACATCAAAGATGGAAACAAAAGGGTAATAATAATTTAGAGAAATGCAAAAATAAGTTGAAAGATAAACTGAAGAATGAAATCTAGGAAGTTGAGCACTAGGCCTGATCTTATGCAATAACACATATATAAAAATAAATAATAAATAGTTTTATATCTGCTTTCCATTAGAAAAAGTAATTAACTCTGCTAACACAGTGAAGGAAAGTGAAAGAAATCTGGGAAACTGACACTAAAAGTAACAAAGCATGAGAGCAAACCAGTTTGAAATTTATGATACAATATTTCCCAAACAAAATAACTGGCAGCACACTTTAAGGAGAAAGAAAAACAATGGCAACAAAAATATAAAATTACAGTAAGTTAAAACCCAAGTAAACATTAATATTCAAATGTTACTTGCAGAAAGATGAAAACAATATTTTTGTATAGGCAGCACATTATAAATTAAAAGGTACATTATAAATTATTTTTATTGAATTTTCTAGCATACATGATTCCAACCAAATATGAAACAGTACAGACATTAAAAAAAATTTAAATACCATGAATTTTTGTGCAGGAGTATAACTAATTCTATAGAGAAGGGAGAATCCAGAATTCCCCCCCTAAAAGCTACATCATGGTATTTCCAACATTTTTTACTATCTGCAAATTTAAATATGTGACCAGTTAAATGGCCTAACAGTAGAAAAAACTTCAAACAAAAACTGCAACCAACAATGAAACATAAACCCAAAATAAACTATGTAGTTCCATTGCTTTCAGAATCATTTATTAATATTTTTGATGTTAACACCCACTATTACATATTGTAAAATATAATTATTATATGAACTTAATTCTTTTCAATTCAATTCACTCACTGCCATTCTGATACAGAATATAACACTGCATCACTTTCCATTTGAGGAAACTGAGCTTTTGAATTATCTTTCTCTGTAATCTAAGAATAGACCTTTAGTTATTGACATAAAACCCTCTTGTGTATATCTGAATTCTCTACTTACCTTGCTACCATTTCCTTCTCCTTATTTGATGCATATCCACTGCTACTGAGGGTTTTTGTCGGAGAAGACAGGAAGTAGAGGCAGTGATTTGTAAAGTACTGATCAACTAATGGTAAAAGAACCTAAGAAATACAGATACAAAATGTATTTTTCACAGAGCAAAATGGTAACTGTAGCAACAATGCTCTGATTGGTCAAAGTTCATTCAAAGAATTTTAGTTCTGTAAGAGTTGTATTTTCTCATTTCAGACACAATGTCATATAAATTAAAAACTTAAGACTTAAAATTTTATTAAAAGTTACTTAAGGAATAGACAGAGGTACACACAGATCTCTATTTTGGATCTAATATTGCACAGGAATACTTCTTCCTGCTATTTAAATGATATGCACTTCCGTGATGCATTGTTGTAAAAAAAAAATCAGAAATTATTTATCTATTCAGTGAGAGCATTTAATTTCATGTAATACATAAGTGGTCTTTTAATTTCTATGTTCCTTTTCATATAGAAACATATATTTAAGTATTTTGAAGTATTTGAATCCAGCAAATATATTGAAATATTTTTGAAATGTTTCTTAAAAAATATTTAATTGATTAGTTGCTAAAAAAATGGGAAAGATATATTTCTATTATGTGAAAAGCAGTCTAACATGACAAATTTCCATATTCTGTATAATGGACTGTATATGGACATTATTTGAAATAATCACTCACTTTAGCAAAGAATTTTATTTCTTGGTCATGTGGAGATTTTTCAGTTTTTCCACTGGTTACAATGGCTTCTGCAAGGATACAATCAAGGCAGACATGAATAGGAAGTTGTCTAATAATTAACACAATATCTTTCAAATAGCCTTGCTGACTTAGTTTTACTGAAATAAAAATAAACAAGCAGAAACTGTTTAGCTAACTACAAATGTTCAAGAATTTAATCCACAAATTAAAAGCCAGGATTTAATTTTCTTAAATTAAAAAAAATAATAGTCATTACAAATGTAAATATATCAATCCAATTACTTAAATAAGAACAATTATAATTATTTTCAAAAGAAAATCTGCAACTTACCCAAATGCGCAATAAACTCTTGAGCAGAATCAACATATTTTAAAATTTTCTTCAGAAACTTAAATGCAAACCTCTTTTCCATGGATGATGCATCCAACTCCATGTCATTCAGCCCCCTGTTTTTGAAAGCATTAAGAGAAATAGCATTGATGATGACAGTAATATAAAATTATGAGAGTTCCATGAAGCATTCCATGCCTTATTTATGGCAAATTTTCATAAGAAGGAGAAAATTACATTCCATAGCAACCCTTAGTTATCAACTACATAACAAGAAATAGAGAAACATGAACATAATAGCTTATGATTAAAGTATTCAAAATGTATATATTTTAGGATAAGAACTTCAGGGTGCTATCTTATTGTACAAAGAAAGCTGTGGTACATCTGAATCTAACAAAGCAATGCACTGGTCTCTCAATTTCTACTGCTGGCACAATAAAGTACCAAATATTTAGGAATTCAGCAGTTGCATATTTACAAAACAAGCCTAAGTACTACCCTTCATTTCATTATTCAGTCTTAAAATTCATTTTGTCCTTGAAATTTATGAAAGGCTGAAGTCAAAATGACTTCAGCTCTTAAATGAAAGCTTAGACGTAAGTAACAAACTACTATACTACCAAAGTATTTGAAAAATTTCAACAGTACGCAATCATTTCTCAACAGGCATATATTATTTATTCTTTAGGATAAATTCATGACCTAAGTCATGACTGGCACGTGCAGGATATCAAAGAGGAATAAAAATGTGTGGTTGTCTTTGCCTAGATTTAACATACTAGAATTTATTTTAACTACAAATGAAAGCTACCTGACTGAAATTTTAAAATTATTTAGGATCACAGAAAAATTTAGGTTGGAAGGAACCTCTGAAAGTCATCTGTCCAATCTCAAAGCAAAGTCAAATTAGATCAGCTCAGATCCTTGTCCAATAATGCACTGAGTAGCTTCAAGGATCTCCTAATGACTCTGGAGATCCTACTATAGTATTTGGCCACCCTCACTGTGAAAAAATAATAGTGAAATATTTTCATATATTTAACTGGAATTTTCCTTGTAACAACTCGTTACTTTTGAGGAGATAGTGTTTGACCTCATTGTCTCTATAACCTTGTATTAAGTAGTTGAAGACATTGTAGCCTTCTGGTTTAATAGTGGAAAAAATCTAACATCTCCTCACATGACATGCATGCAAATCCCCAAAGCATCTTGATGGCCTCCCAGCTGAACAACTCTTTTGTCAGTGTCTTACTTTGCACTGGTAAACCAAAAACTGGGCAACATCCTCCTGATACCATCTCATGATCATAAAATGGAAGGTGAAAAAAAATCACCTCAATCTCCTCCAGCAACCTGCAGACCACACTTACTAATAAAGCCTAGTATGCAGTCAGCCTTTGTCATCACAAGGACACATTCGTGATTCATGTTCAACTTGCAGAATTCAAAGAGCTTTTCCGCACAGATGTTCTCAGGCTCAACTCCCCCATTCCTCAGGTATAGGACTTTGAATTTACATTTGCTCAACCTCACAAGAGTTCTGTCAGACCATTTCTCCTGCCCATCAAAGCTTCTCTGAAGGGTAGCCAAACTCTCCAATTCATTGATAACTGCTAACAATATATTCTGTCTCGGCATCCAGGACATGAATGGGGATTTCATTTCTTTTTCCTTTTGAAGCCACATAACTCAGTAGATTTTTTTTATATTTGTTTTGTTTTCAAATATACTTGCTGTTACAAATTATTAGTTATTTCCCCTTCATTTGCTTCAGATTTTCTTGTAGATTTGTTTAGTCTGCAACTTCTTCATAGTCTCTTTATTCCAACATTGAGGACTAAACTATACTTGAGTTTTTCAGTTGATAGATGGTGTCTTATACCTGGGACATCTATCTGCTTGCCAAGTGAGGAAGTAACTGAATAACATTAAGGCAAAACTCTGGGTACCCATAATGGCTACTTCATTTGTTTCTGTACAGACTCTCCAAATATTAGCAGATAGGAACACTCAGCTTTATCAGTTAGAGAAAATTACCTGTCTAAAGGAGATGCAGAAATTACAGAGGGGTTTAGCTGTGTGTCAGAAGTAGGAAAGAAGTGAGGAACTGGTAGATTGTGGCACTGAGGCAAAAGCAAGAAAAACATGGAAGTGGGGAAGTTGATGGGCTCACTGCTGTGATATGAAGAAAATGATCATTTCTACTGAGATTCCTTAGCACTGGTGTAGGAGTAAATTAGGGTGAATAAATGGAAGATTAGACTGACAGTTGAAGAACAGCTATGAGATTAATCCCAAGGAAAAAAAAAAGCAATTCTGTAGGAAAAGGTTGATGCAGCAGAAATTTTAACAACAAAGAAATCTAATAATAAAATTTATGTTCTTGACCATGTCACAACACAGTTAAGAGGAGAGGAACATTGATAGTCTGGGAGAACGAAACCAAGGAGTACATTCAAATCTCATTTCACACTTAGAAGGACTCTAACCACCCATTTTATAGTTTAATTTGGAAAAAAAAAAATCTATTTGAAGAGTTCTAGTTTATATACTTTTATGACATGCTAGGATAATGCAACTAAGTATTTATCTGCATTTTCAGTAAGATAACTGTAAATATTCTCTTTTTGCATTTATAAGAAGTTATGGTTCCTAAGACATTATGTGTACTTTCCTAACTATTGGAAGACATTGGTAGGTGTGTGAACTAACAAATGCAAAATCAAAAAAGCTTGTAGAGATTTAACAAAACACAGCGTCGTTTTTAACACGTACTTGAATAAGGTCTGAGAGATGTATTTGTATAAAATAATTTTTCCAGAAACACCCAAAGTGCTTCAAAAGATTCTTCTCAGCAAAAAAAAGAAGAGAAAAAACCCACAACAAAGCTACAAAAAAACCAGCAGAGGCAGATGGTATATGTAAAGTACACATGTTGTTCCGCCTATACATTTCCAATTATAAACAATTTCTATGTTTTAATGATTAGTCCAATGTTTTTAAGAATGACATTCTAGAAATGTGACAATTGCAATGAGTACTTCAAAAGATTTTATATATACTTAAAATATGCATATATTCACCTGAGGAAAACACTGAGAGGAGGATAATCTTAATTTATCCTTATACAGTTACTGGAAACTCTTTGCCCACACAAATAAAGAGTTTGAACACACTTTTTCAACTTGACTTGTCCCATGAATAAACACTGGAAACATCACCTTCCTAACCCAAACAGGGGCAGTTGCAAAATGTGAGCAATTCTACTGGTGTTTCAAAAGACCATTTATTTGCAGGAACTAAAACAGCTGTTCTTATTCAGTGGCTCTAAAGCAATTATGGAGGATACGAAAATATCTGGAGGCATACCTACATTTTGAGGGAATAATGTATATTTAGAGCTGGTTTTTTCATATCTTAAGAAATTTTACTAAATTGTGGAAGCCAATAAAGTTACCTTTTGCATATCCTAAAAATCAATTTGTATAAATTTCTATGTTCAATAGAGACACAGACTTGAAAAGCAGAAATAAATTAAAACAAGTAAGATCTGACTCTACAAATGTACTGAAAAATTTGTTCCTGAATAAAGTTTAATTTATAAAAATGCTTAATGCCAGGAAAATTGTAGTTTCCTATACACTCAGGTGTTACACATACAATAAGGCTGATAGTTATAATATAATAATTCACAGCCAAAAAGTATGGTTTAAGAAGTCATTTGAATTTCACTGAGACTAAGTCTCCATAGGCCAGCTTATTTTGAGACACAGAAATTCAAGTTATAGTATAACTAATGAAGTTTATGCTTTTGCTTGAGCAGAAGATGAATTGGCCACAAAACAATCATTTCGCCCTACTACTCCACAGAATTCAAACCAATATGTTTTTTCAAAAACTGGAATAAAAAGCAGTTTTACATAGATGTGTTTCAGTATTAGACCTCAAGTTTACTTTCCCATGATCCTTACTGACACTGTTGGCTGCTAATTTAGACATTTTAAATTATCTGCTTAATTACACTACTGTTGCATTTTGTATTTACTATGATCACATACTTATTAAAAATGTTACCTGTCTATACTATTTCAGAAGGGTCTTTCTGAACATAATATTAACACAGACTCTGATTTATAGAAGATATGCCAAATGGTAATTATGTTAGCAACTACCAGACTGCAGTGAGATAAGAACATCATGCTGGTTTGTGCACTGAATGTAAGCAAGCATCTCAAAAAAATGTGCAACTTACCGAGATATGATTATACCATTGACTTGAAGGAATTTAAACAGCTCTTGTGCCTTTTCACGGTCCCTTGATTTCTCCTTGGCTGTCAATGTGTCATAAGGTACCAATAAAGGATGACTACCTCCACCTTTAGTAAGTTGAAAGAACTGTAAGTTTTTCTACTGTAAGATTTTTGTTTCATATAGAAAAGGAACTATTCAATTTTTATTGTCTTACACTATCTTCTTTCAGACTGTTTCTTCTCCATCATTTTTCTTGTCTTACTTTGTGTGTGTGTGTGTTTCACTGTATTCTGGCTTACCTTTACTTTCCAACTCCATTTTCTTCTTTTTGGCCCATATATTATGATAGTTTTCTGCCATTACCTCAACCATTCCCTACATTACCACCAGAAAAAACAAGACACAAAATTAGTAGGTGACATAAGTTCTGTAATCCCACATAATTTTACAGTCTTGAGTAAAGTCAGAAACCTTGCGGCAAAGAAACATTATATTTAAGTGTCATTTCTACCTTCAGCTGTTCTTTGAAGTCAGCACAAATCACAAGAGACACATATATCACATGCTCTTGACAGCCCCTTCCCTAGCTTTGTGATAGCTTTTTCTGAGAACTCTGGAAGCACCAATGGCATGAACAGTAGAAATTCTGTCTTTCAATATGTATGGAATGCATACAACATTTTCTACAACAGCATATCACAACCACAGTCACAAATACACTCCTAAAACCTGGCAAAGTCCAACTCATTAATAGTAATAACACCAAATCTATTCATTCTTTTCAGTACAACATATGCAAAACACAAATACAAACCTGAAGCTCCCTAGAAAGTGCCACATTAGAGAGATCAAGCGGTGCCGGGCTATACCCATTTCCCTGCAGGAAAAAGAAATAAATAATTACTTTCAGATATAAGTATTTCAGGTAAAAGAATCAAATATTCAACTGCAACATCTCTGTTGTTGATTTGATTGCACTAATTCACAATTTTAAGCTTTCTTGTAGAAACTGCATTCACTCATTGTTTTGCAATGTACTGAAGACACACAGAATGATTATGTGGCAGTAGGAAGGTTGCTGCAGATACTCAGATCTCTCTATTCACAACAGATGGCAAGCTGCTAAGAACTATGCTTTCAGCCTGAGAGAGGAGACCAAGCATGAGACATACAAGATGTGCCTTCAAAACATGACAGAACAATGTGAGAAGAGCCTGAATGAACCCTATACCAAAGACAAGACAGTGTAAGAAAAAGTTAAAATAGTCTATAGTTTCAAGGAATTTACGGACTAAGAAAAAGGAGGAGTGTGATATGTTTGGACAGTCTTTAACTATTTGAAGTGAGAAAGCCCGAGTGCAACAAACCTATGAGCTACATGTTAAACGTGAATGGTTACATATAAATAAATGATTTGAAACATGTACTGAAGTTTAACGTGTGCTGAAACCCTCTACTCAAACGTGTCTTTTATGTCCCCTCTTCTTGGGCCAGAAGGTCCAGCTGCAGAACAAGTTCAACTGTCTGGAAGAATAGATGCCAGAGACAGAAGGATTCCCTGTAAGGGAGTGAACTTTGCTGAAGAGATAAGAAATGTGTTGCAACAGAGTGCTCAGGGATCACTTTTGGTATGCAAAAACTCATACTGGGGAATGAACACAACACAGGGTTAAGGTGCCAGATACTGATGCTCACAGCATCAGTGCTGGTGCAAGTGTAAATGAGGAATCAGCTTGTGACATATCTTTGCACATTACTAGCAGAACTACTTATGGCACTAGGACTGTGCCAAATGCTTTGGCACAGTCTCTCATATATTTAAGTGTAAATGTGTGTTTAATTCACCTCAAGGTGTACAACAACAATTTCCCAATACTTATCATAGTTTTAAACAGCTTTCCCTGCTCCAAGACATAGATATATTGACCAGCAGTCTCAAAATGTGATTAAAAAGATTCAGAAATGAAATAAAATTATCTATATAACATCAAAATACTAGGTGATACATAATTACCTGAAAATCTTGCCTGTAGATCTTTTTTAAAAAGTCTAAAATAGGCAATATTATTTGGAAATTATAATTATAAACTTAATTAAAGCCTATTTTAGGGTCTTCTGTTTGCCCCCCAAAAAGAAAATTACTAGATTTACTTATTATAAAATAAAAGACTTTAAATATGCCACCATATATTCTTTGACTGATTATATTAAAACTCTCTTCAGCTCTTCTGAGAAAATGAATAGCTATTGGTCTCTGATTGTCTTCAAAGTTGTTGCCTTTTTGCAATCCCCTTTTTAGCATTACTGCACAGTGTTTATGATTGTGACATGACTTCCAACCTCAGAACTTTAGCATTAAAAGTTTCTTCTCAATAAAAGAATATAAAATTAACATAATTGTGTATAGTTTCTTAGTAAATTAAGGAACATGTCTTTCCCTTTGTAAATTTAAGCAATTCTACCTCACCTGACTGGATTGAGATATGCTGCGGAATTTTTCATTTTCACGTTGATGTATTATTGCTTCTCCTCCTTCCTTGGTCCTTTCTAGGTTCCATCCCAAGGCCAACATGGTTTTCAATGATTCTCTGGCAGGCCAACGATAAATTTCCTTTTCCTTTGAAGAGAAGAATGCAAAATTTCTCTGTATTTTGCAAATAGCAAAAACTCAGTAAAAATATTCTTTCTGTATGAATTGTCAAAGACCACAAAAGAAAATTTTTATATTATATGAGAACACACATAGTTCTTTTTACACAAGAGAGAACATTTATAAAACAATTATTTAAAATTATTTTATTCTTAGTAGCTGTTAGAAACTAACCACAATGAGCTCTGGAGCAATCATGTAGATTGGATCTGGAAACTTACTCATTGGTTTCTCCAGCACAAAATAAGAAAAAATTGATGGTACTACAAATGCTATGAAATCAGTTAAACATGTACATTTGCATATATCAACACTCAAGGTCTTTTTATAGTCTTCCTATATTTATATCCATTCACAGATACTGAACTATACACCTCTTCATATAAATACAGCAATCAATAAAAAATTAGGAAACAACCTGTATTCCTACAGTCCTTTGATAAGTAAAGGTGTTAGAGAAATTCTGAAAAGTTGTGGCAAAGAAAATTCTGAGTATACCATATTAAGGATCAAATCAAATCAATCTAATCTGAGCATTTCAGTTTGTACCATAAATAAAAATATTTCTGTCAGTTATTTAAAATGACAGCTTTTATGGCTAGACCTGATTTTTAGGTTCAAAAGTTCTAATCTGAAATAATTCAGAAAATTGCCTTTGAACTGCTTAAATAATGGTTCAACCAACAAGGCTTTGTCTCCTCCCCAAAGATTCCAAAGCAATTTAAAAATTGTGAAATTAAACCTTTGAAATCCCTCTTTATTTTTGTCATCTCCACTTTCTGAACACGAGAAGTGTGGTAAAGAGGTACAAAAGTAATTCACTTATTTGTGTCTCCTAATGAATCATTGCAAAAATATCTAACAGATTTCAAATTCAGTTCAGTGTTCTGACAACTTGGAGACATTTGTGACTAGTCAAGAAATTCAAATAAAAAATGCATTCAAAATAGTTTAAATGTTTTTCTGCATTTTCAGCTGAAGCATCTCCTACGTATTCTTTAAATTTTTCTACCATCTTTCTTGAAGACAAAATTGCCTTCAGATATGTTAAATTACACTTTTTCTGGATTGCTGCCAGTCATTCCTCATCCATGGAAACCTCAAAAAAACTGTGCTACTGATACTTTTGAACACAAATTGGCCCAGGCCTATGAAGACTGCCTAGTGGAAGTAAATTATACAAGATTCACTGCAAGATTAACTAAACAACCACTTCAGCATTTAAATGTACCTATTCTTAACTGCAAGAATTCTAGTTTGTCCTCTTCCTTTTATAGTGTATATTTGAAATTGATTTTTAAAAGCACACAAATCAATCTACTTTCAAATAATATAGCTGAAATTTCCTCTATTACCTTTTCAGCTAAAGTTTTGAAAGGTCTTATTAATGGGTGAGTCTTCATATTTTCATCCAGTGAAACACCATATTTCCATCCACTATTAGTCTGAAAGAAATCCCAAACAACACACAGGGAAATAAGGTGACAACAACGTAGATGAGTGACAACAAATTAGCTAGTTTACTTTTTCATATCGAACTGCTAATTTACTCCAATAGCTGCTCAGTGCCACAGAAAAGAGCATGCATCCATTTGTAGATACACAGGAACAATACATGCCCGTGACAAATTAGATATCATCTATGAGTAGGAGGTCTCATGATACAAGTTTTGAGCCTAATATGAACTGAACCCTTTCAAGTGGCTCATGCATTGAGACAGTAACGGCAAGCAAAAAAATATTATCTCAGTTCTCTGGGAGGCTAAAGTCAGAAACAGAGAAGAATATGTAACATCATGATTTGTTGTGTGCTTGAGCTGTTGATCAAACACTAAAGAACATAACTGTAATGAATCCTTTACCTTAATATTAGCTGAAATTTATGGCTTGAAATTAATTTGTGTATATTTACATATCCATATATATGTACATTTTCTCTACAAATTGGCATACATATCCCCCCACAACAGAACTGTTATTTCTATATAACTGTTTCATAAAATTATTATTAATTTGTTATAAATATAATATTATGAT